CTGTCCCCTAGCTTTTCTAAGGCTGTTAATCTTTATGGAAGCAGATTGCCACAGCTTTCGGCCATGGAGCAGCTGGTGGATTTGATCCACCAACCCGATGGTTAACAGCCCAATGCAAAACCAACTAAGCTACCAAGACTCCCTTATCCCTGACTTGTCATTATTGTTAACTGTTGTCTAGTTGTTGTTTTTGGCAAGTGTCATCTAGTAGGTTCAGAGCGACCGTGTATAAGGTTTCAGAGAAGCAGCTGTTGAGTTTGAACCACCAACCTTTTGTACCCAGGGCTTAATGGACCTTAACAGCTTCAGGGAGCAAAAGTTTGTCTTTGAGAAAAGGAGACAAAAGAGAATCAAGTAATTCTTAGAGAAGAGGGTATGAGACCTAAAATTAAATTTGGAGGGCCTGGGGTAGAGAGTTAAATGAGACCTGAGATTTTTTAAAATAGTGGGTAAATGATAGCTGGGAGCAAAAATAGTAATATGTAATTACAGCAGAGGCTATTGCTAACTCATGGACGCATCATTATTTTCTTGCATAAAATGTGCCTACATAAATAATATGCACATATATATAATTCGTATCAAGTGCATAGTACACTAACCCACGGCGGGGGGGGGGGGAATGTGTGCAACCTACACCAAACCTTATCACAAGCACATTGTTTACATAAAATACAGTTAATAAAGCTATTTTTGCCTCTTATTAGTTTGCATTGTTGGCTTCAAGAAATTAATAGCCTGGAGAACTTCCTGCACCCTTGCTGATAACTAACTCCCTTTTGTTCCACATCTGCTTCAGTAAGAAGAGGTGACTGCCAGCCCCAGGTCTCTGCAACATTAGGAATAACACTTGATAAAAAGATTCCACCCCAAACTTTTATACCAAAATGAGTAATAATCCTGTTGTGTTGTTTTTCTCTTCCCCAACGAAGCTGTAACAAAATGGTCAATGTATGTATATATGTATTATTGTTGTTAAATGCCTTCAAGTCATTCCGACTCATAACAACCCTTAATGGGGATTCCGAAGCTTTTAAAAATCTTTGTGGGAGCAGAAATCCTCATCTTTTTCCTGCGAAGTGGCTGGCAATCTCAAACCGTGGACCTTGTAGTTTGCAGTCCAGTATTTATCATATGGAGCCACACAGCCTTTCTTGGCCCATGGGCCTAGAATCCTCAGGTGCTCTGTCTTACCATGCCTTCACCGTCTCCACCTTTCTAGGTAGGATCTCACGCTCCACTCATGCTCTTCCCTCTTGATCATCCTTGGACCATCTGTTCATGCA